CTGTATAAGAATTGTCTCCTTTGCTTCCTTCAAGATCTAAATTGGATATTGAATTGACTGGCAGGAAGATTAATTTACAGGGGCATTTCATCAGCCCAACACGAATTTCATGACAAAATATAATTATACATTTTGAACACAATTCACTACACTGAGTTTTAAACTGTCAAAACAATTAAGCCAACCATGGAAAATGTTAATTTATAATGTGGCTATAAATTACACAATAAAATATCCTGCAAAATATATTCAGATAGCTTTATAAAAATAAATATTAACATAAAAATGTCTAAAATTATTATATATTGATCATTTTATAAAATTATGTTTGTTTGATGTTGAACTGTGAAAGTATAAAAGTTAAAATATTGCACTATTACAAACAAACAATATAAATAAATAAATCAGTTTGATTCCCATGTCACTTTAAGTTTAAATTCAAATGCATCCCATTTAAATTCTGGAACTGAATTGAAATTTTAAGTCTTGTGTCAAAATCATTCACACACAAGCTCGCTGGCCACTATTTACCTGCACACAAAAACAAATTAATACACAGAGAGAAACCAACAAACCAGACTAACACAGGCCATCTGCAAGTGCAGTAGTTTGGAAGAGACACGTTTCCCGTGAGACTCGGGAATGGGATGATTAGCATATCCCTGCGATGACCGCACCGATCGCTGCTTCTCTGCGGGACTGACGGAAGGGAGGGAGGGGTGAAGGGAGGGAACGAGGGATGGGGGGAGGCTCCATCTCTCTATCTAATCTAGCTGATGAAGATCCCTCACTCCGGAGACCTGACAGGGGTCGCACTCTCTCCATTCACGCACGCCACGGACTGCAGAGCTGCGAGCCAGCGAAACAGTCAGCAAAGCGTCCTCTCGTTCCGCTCGGTCTTTTCTCTCGGACCAGCTCACTCACTGTCACTCTGTCTCACACACTCACAAGCGCGCACGCTCTCTGTTCATTCGAAAACCGCAGGGATCTAATACTTCAGCACTCTCTTTTGCGTGCTCACTCAACCTTTTTTTTTTTTTTTCCTCACTAGCAGCACGCGCATCTGTCTCCGCTTCTGTACTGTACAGGATGAACAAGAACGGAAGACTCCTGAGAGAGAGAGAGAGTAAATGAGAAAACAAGGAACTAAAACAACGAAGGCAAGGTGAAACGAAGAGGGGAAAGAGGTCGAGGGCAGATGAGTTTGTGAAGCATTTGGATTTTACTGATTTCAAGCCTCCATCCATCTAATTTTTGCCTTTGGAAAAGGACTAAATTAAGGTAGGATGTGCTCTATGCTCAAATTCCTTGAATCTGTGTGTGTGTTTTGCTGGTGTGGACTTTCTTGCCAGGGCAGTAATGAAGAGATAGGGAGCGTGAAGCAAAAACAGAGAGCTCATAACTCTTGGTGTACGTGTTGGGTTCCTGTCAAGCTCCAGCCAAATCACTGACCTGTCAGCATCTTCAGTTATGAGTGTTTATCCCCAGTCGTATAGTCATGTAAGCTGCAATACTTTCAGTGCTAAGACTCCGGAAGGAAACAAGCCCATGATTAATCCCTGCACCCTTTAGAAACTAGCAGATTTTGAGAGTTTGACTGTGGAGACTGAGCTGAGAGATGGTTGTTTTGCTGCCTGACTGTTCAGAGCGAGGTGAAAACTGGCTTGATGCTCGCAGAGATTGGAACGTAAGTCCTGATTGCAACCCACCAGTGCAAACACTCATACCTGAAGTGTGTGTGAGCGTCAGTTATGATTATGAGCCAACATTTACATATAAAAGCAGGTGTGCGCTCTGCTTCTCACTGCCACAAAGTAGTGAATCACAGGTTAAAAAAAAGAGAGCTGCTTCCAAGAGACATTTGGGCAACATCAAGGACCTGCTTCAAGTGCTTTAGAGGACTCAAAAAGACAGACAAATTACTAGCAATGCTGCATATCTCAATTGGCTCTAAAATGCAGTGTTTCCCTGACAGTTTGTTCCCAGATGAAACAGCAGTGCAATGAACAGTTTCAGCATGTTGTGAAATATGAAAGAGAACGAGACTTAATCCACATAATGCACTTGTTAATCTTTGTTTCTCACACATTATTGTCATATTATTAATAGAGATATGCATGTACAAAGCGCCAGGGTCTGGTGTTTATGTACATGTTAATTTAATCTCACAGAGATTATGGATTTTGTGACATGCGAGAGGGATTAGACCTCAAGCAGTTTCTGTGTTGCTGAGGTATATTAATCACACACATACACTCACAAACGCATAAACTTTACAGTATTTCTGTGTTTCTAGTAAGGCAGATGTGCCATACTTAGAATTATGTGATAGCTGAGAATGCACAATTTGATTTATATAATACCCTGACAACAAAAGAGGAATAATAATAATAGTAATTCTTGATTTATGGCTGGAAAATATCTCAACATTGAAAAACATTCCCCCACTTAAACCTAAAAATCATTAAAAAAAAAGTGAAATTAACCAAGTGAACTTCTTTATACAAAAGACCAGAGGTTCTTGCTTCCACTGAAGCACAAGATGCTCTTTGGAACATTTGAAATCATGCTGGAGAACACGATGATCTGGTTTTCTCATGTTCATGCAGATGTTCATAAAATGTTCAAATCAAATTGTAATGCTGATAATATATTTTGTAAGGAAAACAGTTGTATTAAATGACAAAAAATGCAAAACAGAGTATTTTCACAAGTGGTCTCAGATATTTGGACCTCATAGTACAAGTTGTTGCACCAGAGGGGAGTTGCATTGGTCTAACATAATTTGTCCTTGTGGGAAACGCTTCAGAAACTTAAATGCTTCAGAATCTCATTTTGCATTGAGATGCAAAAAGAACATCATCAGTAGATTTAATACAAGGATCAAATTTACAGTGATTCATGTTAGAAAGCACTTCATGACTGTCAGAATTACTCATTATTATGGTAAGTGTAACCAAATATAGAATCACACTCTGGTGTTGAGTTTTCCCTCAGATACAATATATCTATAATTGTTAGTGGTTGTTTGTACAACCGTATTGTGGAAGCTGCTATGTGTGTGTGTGCCAAGAGAGGTGTGGCTTAATCCCTTATGAATAGTCAAATTCAGCATCAGCATTCCTAGAATAAAGTAGAAAATGGCGTTAAAAATAATAGGAGGTGAGCTGTGACATCCACTTTAATTCATCCAGACTGTGTCTCTAGCTGTCATAAATGAGAGGACGTGATGTGCTAGGAATATGACACAATATCGGTCCATCTCTAACTGTATTATCCACCTATTTTCACTTGATCTGTTGCAGCATTGCAAATGTTGCACGGTAAAAAAGCTGATCCCGTCCATCTGTTAAAGGTTGCACAGATTTGGGGGACACTCTAGGACAAAAAATATATATAAAAAATGATGAATGCACAACAGTCAGATGGAATTTAACTCACAGATGAGGCCGAAATGCATCCTCTCTCTTTCCGGGATCAAGCCAGCCTTTACAAAGGCAAGGAACGGCAGGCTTCAATCAGTGTCTGAAATCAGTAGCCAGGGACAATCCAAAGATCCCTCCTGAACTTGAGAAGCTGGCCAAGCTGGCAGGTCTTGGTTTGTTTTTTGTGCTCAAGATCAGAGCAGACAATAGAAGAAGCAGAGCTCCTAGTGATCTGAGCTACTGGTGAAAACAAAGCCATGTCCCAACAAGAGTCCGATTCCCCAGAGGGAACTATAGCAGATGCGCTAGCATTGGGTTTAATGAGGAATCCTCTTTTGACCAGTTGGTAACACAAGAGACAGACAGATCCGAGAGTGACGATCAGCACCGAGGGAGGGAGACAGCTCTGAGGGAGAGACAGCTTTGAGGGTGAGCTAAATGAGGTCTAATCAGCTCAAAGCAGATGGGAACCCTGAGACGGAGGGGATCGCGAGCGCAAGATTTGACATGTCCCTATGTCCCTCTCATCAGAATTCAATTGGAATTGAGAGGGAGTAATGACATTAAGTGGCACGGGTCCAGGGACATAAACACCAGGGTCAATAACAGCTGGACACACTGATATATCTGTGTGTGTGTGTGTGTGTGTGTGGTGTGTGTGGTGTGTGTGTGTGTGTGTGCTATAGACCCAACCATCCAGATTAACCTTGAACCCCTTCACCATTCACATAAAACCCCCAGCCTATCCATCGCCATAGAACGACCAAATTAAACATCCTATCATGAGCCAAAGGTTTTACTTGCTTTTTTTTTATCAAATAAAATAATTCAGTGCACTATGTAGACAAGCTGTGTTTCACCAGACCATTATGGAAATAAGATGCACAAATTGGTCATTCAGAAAGCACATATACACATATGGCAGCCCTTATACACATAGCACCTATTTAGAGGTAAGCAACTCGTCTGTTATTCCCAAACACGAGAAACATTCCAGCTGATACACTGTCAGAAAAATTGTACCTAGAAGCTGTACATTTGTACCTATCTACCCATAAATGGGTAACATACACCCGTTGGGTGTATATAAGGTACAAACATATAGCTTTGGTGGGAACTGCCTCATAGTTTAGCCAAAGGTACACTTTTTGCACATTTATTTTTTTTCTGACAGTGTATCCAGATGTTGCAAAGTCCATTAGATTGTATTATTTTGTGGCTCTGCGTATCCTTCTGAAGGATCCTAATGTTAGTGACGAGCAACTGAAAGATGGGAAACCGGAAATGGTTGTAACACTGTAAAAATATATTTTTTTCTTTCCATATTTCATAATATATCATGATTCTTAAGCACCAAATCAGCATATTAGTATGATTTCTGAAGGATCATGTGGCACTGAAGACTCAAGTAATGGCTGCTGAAAATTGAGCTTTGCAATCACAGAATAAATTACATTTAAACTAAATTCAATTAGAAAACAGTTCTTTAAAAACAGCAATATTGTGAAATAGTATTGCAATTTAAGTGTAGTTTTGAATAAATGCAGGCTTGGTGAGCATAAGAGACTTCTTTTAGAAATATCATTAAAAAATCTTTCCGACCAAAAACTTTTGAATAAGTAGTGTAAGTAGATTTTGCATCAACTAGATAAACATCAAATATATTAGAATACACAGCAAACCCACAATTTGTAATTGCAGTTACTTATTTCACATGCAAAAAGGGCATTTGTGTACTGTAGAAATACTAATGGAACAGTAGCTGAAATATGTAGCGTTTATTAATTCTAAAGGTCACAACGAGGGAGACAAATGCTCACGAAAATCAAAAAGATTACTGTTTCCGCTACAAGAAACATTATAAGTGGACTTCAGAGAAAAGAAAATGCTGCTAACGTACATGGTATGGCCTAGAGATACTTCACAACATGTCCTTAGTCACTTCACACTCCCTTTACACTCCAAAGCATCAAGTTCCTTATTTCAACCAGCCCAATGGCTCTTTTCATTCACACAAACCTGAGCCGCTTATCTCTGGTTCTCTCTTAAAGCGATCTCAATGCATAATGCAGCTGAATAAGCTCTCTCTTTTAAGAAAGCCATCGCTGATGCAATGCAAGAGCATTGAGGGAGTGAATGGCTGGGCAGTACTGTACAGAGGAGGATATCCTCTCTGATGTGCTGCACGCCGCCGTAGGCTGCAAGAAAGATCCACCGTAATCCCGTGTACTTATTGTATGATTGATGATGGCCTTCAGATATCCTGGAGACTGAATGGGTGGCAGCTGAACCCCTCTAATGCCAAAGTCAACAAGGCCTCAGACAGTTCAAGGAATAGTTCATCCAAAAAATGACAGCTCTGTCATCACTTACTCACATTCATGCCATTCCAAAATGATATGACTTTGTTCTGCAGAACAAAAAAGGGAAACATTTGAAGAATGTTTTCTATGCACTTTTCTATTAAATTACCATAAATGCAAAGTGAAACTTTCAAGCTTCAAAAAAACACATCATAAAAGTGCTCTATATGACTGAAGTTGCTGAAGTTTAACTTACTATTCACTGAAAAAGTTGACATCAAGCCACAATTTTCAGTTCGTCAATTAATCATTACAATCATCATCGGATTTGGTTCAGAATGAGAACTGGAATCCAGTCTGAATGATTATTAATGAATCAGACTTGTCCGTAAATGAATACGTCTGTAATCATTATCACAAACTAATACATATCTAAAGCCAAAGTCAACAAGGCCTTAGTTCAAGGAATAGTTCATCCAAAAATGACACCTCTGTCAAAAGCTACTTAACCTCATGTCGTCCCAAAACAAAAACAAAAAATTTGAAGAACGTT